CAGCAATTTGCCTTAAGACACAATGCCATGTGCCCCACTAGTTTTATAGCTTCATAAAATATCTATCCTTTTTGTATCGCACTTATTTTTTTATCTACAAAGTCAGTTTTTGCGATAAATACATTCAGCATCATAATGCTGATTACAAATTTTTTCGTGTGCGCTAAGTACTTTCACACGAATATCTAAAATTTTTCAAAAAGTGGTGTTCACTGAGCGACTTATATATCACTACATATATATTTTTGCTTTCTTCATGAATTTCTCAATACCTCACAATCACATGAGTTTTCTTAAATTCCCTCTACCAGGCTGTCTTATGACAACCCTTAATATGATTTTACACACATCATCCAGAAATATACTAAAAATTTTTCACTATCTATCTATTAGATCTCACTATCTCTTATCTATTATCTATTATCCTTACGTCAGAAGTCCTGGATTTGACTCCGGCTGGTACCAGTACTGCGGAACATATCCGCCCATCTGTGGCGGTTGTGGCGGTTGCTGAGGTGGACCGGGAGGAGGTTTGTGATCCCAGGGTACTCTCCCGGCGGACTCAACCCTGGTGACAGCTCCGATACAGGGGTGGATGAAGGTGTGGGGCTGTGACCACCGGGACCACCTGGACCGCCCACGCCACCTGGCCTCCTGACGTACCGAGATAGTGTGGTGATCCACTGCTACTTCCTCCTAGAAGATAAAGGAAATTTAATTTGTGATACAAGAAAGAGAATAAAATAAAAAATGGGGATCATTAGAAAAGTGGATAAAAATTAATGATGGGATTTGGTTGTGATCGTACCATGCATGCCGGGAATATTTCCTGGAGGACTTTGTTCACCAGGAACGCCTAGACCGCCCAGTGAAGCTCCAGGACCGCCGGGACATCCCTTGTGCTGCTTTCATCATTTTCTTGTATTTACTGCGTCTATTTTGGAACCATATCTTTACCTGTAAAATAAATTAGCTTTTGAAATTTCAGAACTGTAGAAAATTGACGCCCTATAGAATTTGGGATGGATGAAATTAGACATTAAGACGATCTTTCAAGATGAAATAATATTTTCACTTATACCACTCATGTATATTCTACTGTAATTGATACACCACAAATTTTTTTTTTTACATTGCTTTGGTAAAAATTAAGCACAAAGTCAAAGGCTAATATGATGCCAAAAAGCGATTAGGCAGTACAGTCAACCCTCGGTTAACGCGGCAAGTGCGTACGGTGCAGTATGGGGACCGTGCTCGTATTTAACATACAATTCAGGCTAATTCGTAGTGCGTTCTATGGAAACTTATATAGTGCTGTATGGGAACCGCGCTATGAGAGACTAAGAGTTAGTACTAATCGCACCATTTTTATCGTGCTGTATAGAGACCAAGGAATACAACTTGAAGTAGGAGTAATACGGATGAAATGACATATATGACCTGGACACATTATTCAAAAATTGGCTCGACGTTGCAATCAGTTCAAACATGTTCTTAGACAGATATTATATAATCAGGCATGTCTAAAAGATGAAAGTCGATAACAAAACTTACGTTAATACCCTTTTGATATCAAGTTCCTATAATTACTCATAGGTTGTGCAAGGAACTTATGGGCTGTTGAACAAAAACCGTGTAATAGGAAGTCCGTGTAGTCGGAGGGATGTCGGATTTTTAGCTCCGCGCGGTATGGAAACCGTGTACCCAGAGTGCCGTGTTAACGGAGGGTTGACTGTATATGTGTAGCAATGAAATATTTTAAATAATTTAAAATATCGTGTCATTACATGTTGCTGTTAGTATAATTAGCAGCAATAATAAAATAATACTATGACACGATTTTGAAATTTTGATCAGAACTTCATAAGGATTTTCTATAACCCATGTTTGACCAATCGCCTGCCACCAAAATGATATAAAGGACGATTGATGGATACCAACCATTCTTCATTCTGAGTCGCAATTCCCATTTTTCTTTGATAGCAAGAGTATTGCAATTTGCATGTACAATATAGATTATTTTTCAGCGGGTGTCTTGAACTGAAAATAAATGACTTTTGACGAATTCTTTTCGGCAATTACTGAACTCAAGCTCAAGAATTCCAGCAATGCGAGTAACGTGTGAACGAGCGGTAACTTTTAGGCGACGACGAGCCCGGCCGTCGAGGCAAAACCGTGTGTTGCAATTTTTTTTTACTTCGAATAAGTTGCTTCAAAATTGTTTCGGCGGCCCTCGAACACCGCCCACTACGCAAATATGCGAACAAACCATATTGTCTGCCGCAGGTTGGAAGATAGTAAAGGATTGTGTTTGCTTGATGAAGAATATTGACTGAATCAAACAATAACTAATTATAAGTTGAATGTATACTGATTAACGATATGATTAATCTAATCAAACATATTATTGAAATACATATGTATTAGTAGACTAAAAAATTTATTTCTAGTCCAAAGTATTTTGTAATGAGATCCATTTTAATCTGCATTCATATTTTTTAAATGATTATCGTCGGTGTAAAATATGGTAATAAATCAACTGAAGTTTTCGCAAATGAGATTTTTGTTCAAAATGATCTGGACCTAACATTGTGTAATTCCTTGAAACCAGAGGCAAAGTATGAAGTCAATGTTTCGAATATATGAAAATCCATCGCGACGAATTTCTTTTAGATTTCGTTCGGTCATGTCGCACGCGAATTTGACTACCATTAATCATTTTTTTCACGACTTCAGGGCTGGTGTCGAATTGGATGGAAAATATTTCGAAATTATTCATCAGAATATTTATTCTACAAGTTGTTGTGTATTATTCTCTACATTACATATTAGTACTATACTATACATATTAGTATTAGCAGTAATAATAATATTCTGATCCATATCTAAAGCACTCTTTTTTTCAATTATTTTTTAAATTTTACAATGGCTTTCAGAAGTGAACTAAATGGTTTGCCTTTCAGTTGTGTACTATACGAGGTCTGTTCAAAAAGTTTTCGTAATTTTCGTTTTTTCAAAAAAATATTTATTTATTCGTCTACATTAATGTGGTCCCCTTCAAAGTAGTCCCCCCCAGATATAATACACTTATGCCAGCGTTTTTTCCAATTTTCGAAGCACCCTTGATATTCACTTTTTGATATGTCCTTGAGCACTCTCGGCGATTTTCTTCAATCGAGGAAAACCGCCGTCCTTTCATGGGTCTCTTCAACTTTGGGAATAGGAAAAAGTCACACGGAGCCATATCTGGTGAATTTTTGCACTTTGCAACACTTTATTTCATTTTTTACGCAAAATTTAATACAAATTCTTTGACTTTTTCAATTCTTCCATTGTAAAAATCGCCGAGCTCAGAAAAACACGTCGAACCTTAGCGACTACCACAGACAAAGTAAACAGTGAATATAGCTGAAAATTTCATCATACTTTAGGGGCATGTATACCGACACAATAAAAAAAAAAAATTTGACAATCAGACACTCCAGACCCGCGAAATTTAATTATTAGTAATTCCGGGTACTTTTTGAACAGACCATGTATATGTGCAATATGGTAAAATACAAATAGCACCTATCTTTTAGACAATTGTGCAGTTTTGCAAAAAAGATCCATTCTAAAAACCTCCAATTCACAAGTATACACATTAGTATTAGCAATAATAATAGTATTCTGATCCATATTCATAGCATAATTTTTGCAAATAATTTTCAAATTTTACAATGGTTTCTAGAAGAGAACCAAATGGTTTGACTTTTAGTTGTATACTAAATATCTGCAATATAGTTTTATACAAATAGCACAAATTAGCCCAAATGTATTGTTCAATTTTTTTCAGTACATCTATATTTTAAACAAACGTTGTTTTGCAAAATGGAACCATTCCAGTTTCTTTCAACTCATCATCAGTCTGGATCATATTTCGAACTTCGACCAGTTTCGGACAGTTTTGGATTATTTTTTGCAAAGTTTCATTTTCTAACAAAGTAGCGAATTTAATAGTTTTCTCAAGTTGAGCTTCAATAAAGAGATGATAAATTTTATCTTACCATTTCTTGACGATTAAAGGTCTATAGCTTGTCATTAAAATAAGTTCTCATGATTCACGGATATTGAGTAATTTTCTTTCAGAAAAAACTGATTTACGTAACGATGACTAAATATATTTCAAAACCATATTACACACAAAATCATATTGTCTAATTTGCTTATAAGAATTTTAAGCGATTTCATAAAAAAGACTCCGGTAGTCCAACACTGACCTTAAATAACCTTAGATTCCGAATACACGTGATAAAAAACATACACACACACATACTGTGACCATTATTCAAATCCTTTTTCCTGCATTATACATAATTAAGTTTATTATATTCGGTTACACTGCATTATATGTGTATTGTGCTCTTGGATGTTATTTTTTTTCTTGTTCACTTTTTTATTGTATTCGACTCTCTATCGTTTTCTTTCGATTTTTTTCGAGCGTTATTATTATATTATATTATATTGTTATTATTATTTTTATTCGTATGTTTTTTGATTCCGGCTACCGTGCGACGGACAAAGAAAAAAGTAAGATCAGGCAAGCGCAACAGACCAATATTCACACCTTTTGTATTAACTACAGATATTACGACGGGAGAAATGAATTAAAAATCTGTGACCACAGAGAAAGTTCAAAGCGATTCTAATAAAACTTATCTACTCAACTGTAATAGACAAATTTTATTTATTTATTTTATTACATAGATCCAAAAGGACGTAAAACTACAATCATAATAATACAATATTAGATATTAACTAATTAACACTGAATTAAATGGAATATGAAAAACGCACGCAAATAAATGAATATAAAAAAAATAGATACAGTATAGGTACAGCAATAGTAGTAAGTACAGATAGTAACTAGTGGTGAATGGCATCGTGCCTTAAGGCAAATAGCTGGAACTTTCCGTACCGAAAACTAAATTAAAAAAAAACTTTGCAAAGCTTTGAAAAAATTATTAGAAATTTTTGAGATTTTAAAAAAACTTGACTTTTTAGAAAAAAATGATTTTTTTGTTTAGATTTTTTTTTGTTTCATCATCTACTTTTTATTTTTTGCTTTTTTATTGGATCTAGGGAGACGCTAGACCCTACCTTTACAAATATTTCACCATTTGTTCATTACGTCAATACAAGTAAAATGTTCTTTGAATTATTTAAATCGGACTCTCCGTTTATCACAAAAACTAAAGTACCATTTTTGGCACTTTTTGCCCCGCATCTCCGAAACGGCTAGGCCTGCCTTTGCCAAAAACTAATCAGCACGTCTTCTTATTAGTAGGAATCGAATGTTCATGAATTTTATATCCGCACACACACATACATACATCAATTTTTTCTAAGGTATGCCAAAATGTTCAGAAACACTGAAACGTATAGATTTATAAAAATTTCATTTTCTATTTTTTTGCGATTACTATAACTTACCCTACGGGAAGTTCAAAATTACTATAAAATACTACTTATAGTAGTGATATATGGCAGCGATTATATTCTGGTATAAATAGTAGATTTGATTTGCATTTTGTTATATTTTTATGTTATTTTTATTTAAGTGCTTTTATATGCACGAAAAGCAGCTTTATAATATTTGTGAAAATTAAAAATAATGTTAAAAAGCATAATGGATTTTGTTTCAATATTCAATGCATTGTTCACTTTAAGTTATATCAAATAAATAATTCAGATCTTACTAATTTGTTCAAGTAGTAACATACAAACATTCATCAAGATTTTCTAAAAATTAATATTTTGTAAATCACTGAATAATTGTAAGAACTGCAACATAAATAAATATTTTTTTAAATAGTTTTTCAGTACTGATATAACCCCATTTTATACGAAATTCAAATCGCTTTTCATCAAAGTTACAATAAGACAAATTGGCATTAAATTTTATATATTTTTTAAAA